ATCAACAAATTTAAACAAAACAAATCTTATTTAAAACTTATAGCGATAATTTTAATATTTATTTTAATCATTAAACATGTAAGCTTTTAGATGTCAAATTCATTAGACATTAAACAATAACAATGGTAACCTCGTTTTCATGTGCGTTTTCAGAGACAGTTAACATTAATTTAAAGTTTGTTTACAGAGATAGTTAAATATAAAAAATATACAATAATCTGTCACGTGCATCTTTTCGACGCCATGCTTCAAGATAATAATTATAATCAATATCAATACATACAAATAAACAGTAATAAACTAAATAAGTGTGGGAGAGCCAAGCTTCGGCACGATTCGACCGGAGTGATACCACGGCCTCACAGAATACCGGCGTGAAACAACCCAGCGTTGTGTTTCGCCGTGTGAGTGAGGTTACCGGAGGCCCAATCACTCCCCTTCTCCTATCCCTTCCCGTTCCTTTTATCCGCAACCCCTATCCCCAAAAGGCCGGCAACGCACTCGTGACTCATTTGGTGTTGCTTACCATCAGGTAATCCGTCTGCTCGTTTGCCGACATATACCATAAAAAAACGGTGTCTGTACAAAAGGGAAACTTTATACAGGATGTCCGGTAATTAATAATCCGGTAATGGATAATCTTGAAATGTCTTATTAAACAACTCATGGCCGCCCCGAAAATAATACGAAAAAAAATATATCATAAATCGTACCTTTGAAATCTATTTTTTAGAGATTTTTTTTTGTCTTATTTCACTGTGTTACGCAGATTTGACCTGTCTACAGCTTTATTATAACTAATAGAATAAGAATTACCCGCAAAAAATCAATAACTAATCAGTTTTTGAGTTGTTTCAATGTGTTGGTTTAAGTTTTCCTCAGAATTATGTGTTTATTTTATTTCAATTCAATGCTATCAATGCGTCGACATGGCCAATTTTTGTATGGGCGTTTGCATAGTTATTGAATTCAATGTACATCACTGATTTTTGGTTTTTAAATTTGTTAATATTGTTAAATTAAATTGCAATAAATAAAACACATGAAAAACCCGTAATTACAACACACAAGACGAAAATAGTTTCACTAAACTTTTAGTCAGACTACTGGCACGTAAGTGCACGAAATAAAATTTGCTTTTAAAAACCTTAAGGCGTTTTAAGTATTTATTTATTTATTAAATAAAACAAAAGAATAGGTATTAATAATAATGATTTATTTATTAAGGAGAATAAATAAAATAAAACTATGTAATAATTCATATTTCTATTTTTATTTTACAGTGTATTAATTATGTTTGTGTACGTGGAATGTACTTTTTTGGCCATGTCCTTTATTACAGGCATAGTTTGAAAGTCGAGAAAGGACATAAGATAGTATTTGTCCCGGGAATTCAAAAGGAGAACTTCCCGAATCCTACGAGATCGGGAATTATGTGGGTAAAACCAAAAATCTGCTAAAACCCACTATTCCACGCGGACGAAGTCGCTGGCTGAAGCTAGTGATTGAATATTTTACCAATTTATAAATTTAGTAAAAATAAAAAGCCTTTATTCAGTCGGACACTTGTTACTATAATTTTGATAAGTTTTTTTTTGTGAGGGGAAAATCATCGAAAGGCTTCTCCCGCCCCATAGTCTCAGACTCTTACTGACTAAAAACCCCCCTGTTCCTTCTCCTGCTCTGGGCCGAGGTCGCGGTGTCTCATTGCGCCTACCCCGCAACCCCGGTTAATTTTGTTAAGTTAATATTATGATGAAGACACCATATTTGGATTGAACAACACATCAGACAATAGAAAAAAATATAATTTCATTAGTTAATTAATTTGTAATACATATCTATTAATTATTGTGAAATTTCCCTTATTACACTATACGTGACAAATTACGTTCACCTAAACGATGTTTCGTTCTCAAAAATATTTCGTTTTATTGTAAAACTAGACTTCTTAAAATAAACTTTATTTCTAAACATACCTACTATTCAGAAAGTAAATTTGTGAATACATTTATATGGATAAATGCGACAAACAAGCTGAGATATAAACAATATAATGCCAAATTTTCTGGTTGAGCAGGAACTATGAAGAATGATAAGTCCGGGTTTGCGAAATTAGTATAAAGGCACCCGAAAACACTACAATATTTTTGCCCCCTTTTTGAAGTTATGATACTCGTAATTTAAGTGGCCGCTGCCGGTGAGAGTTGACGACCGCAGGCGGCCATGTACCTAGCGTACAGTCACGCTGCACAGGCCACACTGCCGCCACCTTCTTCCCCCATAAATTATGCTAGAGTGTGCGGAAAATAGCGTACCAACATAACGCGATTCAGACTGAGAGCGGCACGTTTGTATGAAGATGTTTTACTGTATATTTACTGTGGTCTGGCGACAATGCAAGCGATTTACGCGCGTATTTTGAATTCGCGCGATGTATTCGTGCGAATAATTTCGCGCGAAACGATTAGCGGCGAATTCGCCCTTTCTGGATCAGTGTTTTTGTTGTTCAGATCACAGCGCCCTCTTAAATATAACTAACTACTGACCTATTTATCACATATACAACATTCCTGATTTCTGAATAAATCAGGTCTCTAACGCCCGTTTTCAATAACCTACCGAAGTTCATAGCTATCCCCGATAAACGTTAAGTTTCTATCCATCCATAATCTGCGTTTCACAAGCAAAGATAAGTGCTATCAGTATTCAACCAACGACAGATAGCTTTCTCCCTCTCGCCTATCCAAGCCCCACCAAACGTTTCGTTCTATGTTGACCACTATAAAATAAATAAACTCAAAACGAAATATTTTTAATGTTTTGTTTTTATAAACGTATTTAATTTGTTACCAGCATAATTTTAAAGTAAAAAAATGAGAAAATAAAATGCATTTTATAATTTTTTTCTTACTTATTATTTGTACTTTTATTAAAAGAAAGAAAGAAAGAAAACACATTTATTCGACAAAAAGGCACACAAATCCAGGTATATAAAAATACATAATAAGAACAGAGTATTTATAAATACAATAATAAAATAATAAACAAAACAAGAATAACATATAAAGTATTAAAAAAGAAAAAAAAAACGAAAATAAAACGTTAAAATAATAATATTCAAGTGCCCATGCCAAAAGGGCCTCCACCTCAGCATATAGTTGAGCAAATATACTCAACGCTGATTTTCAGGTGGCACCCTGCAGTGACTCACGTCACGGACGGCGGTACCGCCACTCAGTAAAGAAAAGAAGTAAGAAACATAATGTGAATATAGAAGAAAGTGTGCGTGTGTGAAAATATTATCCAAATTATTCAGATATGAATACATTTTATATCATAATAAGTGAATACAATCTTTTTTTAAAAAATATAATACATAAGGGAGTTAATTGCTACATGTTCTTTTTTTAATTAACTGGGGGTTGTCGAAAAATGTTTTTGGCTATTTGTATACTAGACAGGTACTACTTAGTGACACCCGTGCTGAGCTCTCGTTCACTTTGTCGCGTCCCACAAGGATACAGTTGCCCTCCACCAGCCACAGGACACAAAACTCAGGCAGCATAGTTTACGAGTAGTGGAGTGATTGTAATAAAATAAATAAATAAAAGTAATGGCGAAGTGCAACTAGAACAAACACCGTGATTACTCACACAAAAATGCAAAAACTTCCAAGTTAATGTAAAAAGTAAGTAAAAATTGACTAATTTGGAATAATAAACTGAAATTAGATAAATGACTTGTCAACATTCATGTCGCCGAATTTAATTTGAGATGTCACAATAAAAGATTTTAATTTTAACGTAAATGATTTTTTATTTTTCAGATCTCTAATTGGAGGCGGAACTATATATTATTCCAACATTTGGAAGCCGCATAACGGAAGCTGCCACGAAAGGCTGCAGTCCTGTGCTGAGGAATGGCGAGCTGCTGAGCACATCGCCTACCCTCAAGCTCCCGGTGACTGCCTACCCATGCAAGCCTAGCGTACAGGTATGGAATGGAATAGTAAAACCTCAGAATACAGAACAAACCAGAATCCGCGTTCACTCATAATTACATGTCGTCTAATGTGTCCAAAAACAATACGTCAGTCCCCCCGCCAGCCGCACTTCACACCCGCGTAGTGTTGCCGACAGTTGAAGAATTCCCTTGGTTTAGGGTAATTTTACAAAAGGAGGGCAAAATATATTTTATTGGGAAAATCCAAAAAAAAAAACGGGTAATTTTTCGATAAATTTAACAGACTAGTGGTTTACACATTTCGTGCAGGTATCATAAAAGTTGACGATTTCTAGCTGTGTTAATTTTAGTTACACTTACTATTCACAACAAATAAAACAAAATTTCAATAAGTACAAAGGTTTTATTGCGTTCTCTTCTGCTGTTTTATCTTTTTATAACATGTATTGTCTTTTAGACTCTGTACTGATTAGAAGTTTACCTACTTTTCTTAGTTCCTCAGATTAGCGCGTTCAAGCAAACCAACAAACAAACTCTTAAGCATTATAATTAGTATAGTTAGTAGGAGTTGCTGTTTTTTTCAGTCTTTTTAAACCACCTTTGTCATAAATATATTGCTGTTCAAAGTGAATTGAGCAAAACTATGCTGCGGCTAGATGATTTCCAAATTCATCTAACCGTGCTCTTTGTATGATTTTTATTCATTTTAATTTTCTTTGTTTGTCGACAGGGAAACTAATACGACAAAGGTTCCATAATGGGCAAAAATATAACTCACAACACATAAATAAGTGGGTAAAATTTTCACCAAAAATGACAACACTCACAAAATGGCCGCATCATTTTCATAGAAAAATAAATCGATAAAAAATATTCAATAATTAATTAAATATACTATTGCAGTCGATGCTTGCAGATGAAATGTAATCTTATCCACTGTTTTCGTAATTCCAGCCGCATTTTACTCGTAGGAATAACACAAGATGGCGTAAATAAATTAATTTGAAATTAATTTGAAATAACATTAAAATTGATACTCGTAAATACGTCACGACATGCCACGTGCCAAAATTGACTGATCGTAGAAATTTCATATTATTCTAGTTAAGAGTGGTTTGAGTTGCTTTAGTATGAAGCGCGTTGACGGCTTCTGGTTTGTTCTGTATTCTGAGAGTAAAACTAAAATTTAAAACGAAACGTTTTGACATTGACAGACAATCGGCACTGATTTGGCTTACAGACTATGCCGCATAATATTATTCATTTTTACATTATAGATTTTCTATTCTCTAAGCCTGCCTCCAAGTTTGACATTCCGGCTTCGGTCCTGTCTTCAACTTTCCCATAATCTTTATAGGGAATACATCAGCACCCCTGAGGTACTCCAAGCCATATCTCTCCAGATTATCTTCTCTAATTTCTTCGTATAGTTTGTACTTTAATTCGTTGGCGTAATTTTGTATTCTCTGCTCAATCAAAGCATCTCCGTTGAACACGATGCCCCAATATAAAGCAGCATTTCCTCTGAAAATTAAAAGAAAAAATGTTTTCATTATAAAGTTATCTCTTCATCTGTCGTGGTCGTGGTGGCCAAGTACAGCTTGGCGAGAAAGAATCTGATGCGTTTTTTTTTGTGAAGCGAAGGGAGTGTCAACCTCTTACTGACTAAAACCCCCCGTTCCTTCTCCCGCTCTGTGCCGAGGCTGCAGTGCCGCTTTGGGCTTGCCCCGCAACCCCGACTCAAGAAAGAACCTGATCCGATGAAATTTGGCAATAGACAAACGTTTGTTGTGACAACAATTATAAATCGTCAACTACAAGTAGTTACTCCTACTCGCACTGTTACTCCTTGTTCGTAGACCGCAGACCAGACGCAGACTGGGGCTTGAGGAGGATAGTTCCTTCTCCTTTGCCAGCATCACTGTTCGTGCACTCCGCTCTATGGCCTCGACTAAGGCCGGACGCGAGAGGTCACTGTAGCCTATCGCTTCCTTGAAGACAGGGCGGTGGTCTGCCTAAGCAGGACCACCACACACCGCCATCGTATGCTCCACCGCGCAGGGTGGTCCTCACAATGACGACACTCGAGCGTTTCCTCGGCTCGGAAACAGGAACATGCCGAACCTGCCGTGTCCGGTATGCACCTGCGTCAGGTGGAAGGTGAGGATACCACGGCGTCTCTCAAGCCACTTCTCAAAGAGAGTTCTTACCGCTGCTATAACAGCATGCGTGATAACTGCACGGTCGGCGCAGTGGCTAGGCAATTTCTCACGGCGTGATTCTCGCACGGAACTACACTTTGAGTGATCCATAAATTGATGTTTCAGGTCACCATAGAAAATTCTAGAGTCTCTGAGAGTCCTTTTCCTCGGACTCTATGACGTATAACAGCTTCCTACTTGGCCCGCACCGTATTCGTGGTACCTCAAGTATTAGTATTATATTACGAAAGAAATAAAGAAGGAAAGAAAGAAACATCGATATACATAAAATGCAGGTGGTACCTGATATTATAGTGGTGTACAGTTCAGGCTGTATTCTGCCTATGTTACGAGTAGGCGTGCAAATATTTTTTAACGGTTAGGTTTAATAAATAATGAAATCTAAATCGACTTACCGAATACGTAGCATGTGTCTTTCAATATCACTACTTCGATATTCCGGCAGCAGGAACATGCCAAGTGAACTCAAGTATTTGAGGCGTTTCTCAGCACCATGGTACCGCAGCTGTCTCTGAACAAACTTCAGATAACGCATGTACTTACAGAAAGCTTCTCCGTCCCTCTGGAAGAAATTAAAATAAAATTAATATTAGGGAAGATGCTTAAACCTCTATGATTTTTTTTGTGGTCCTGGTACGAGCAGACAGATTATCGGATGGTAAGCAATCAGCGCCACCTATGGACGGGTGCAACACCAAAGAAGTATGAATGAAGATTGCGGAATAAACTAATAGTTTTTTTTTTGTGAAGTGAAAATCATTAAATGACTTCTCCCGCCCAGGGCCGGGCAGGAGGGAGTGTCAGACTCTTACTGACTAAAAACCCCCCTGTTCCTTCTCCTGCTCTGTGCCGAGGTCGCGGCACCTCATTGCGCTTACCCCGCAACCCCGGCTGAACATCAGCCCTTTAGGGCCCCGTCTGTGGTGGTCGAATGGCTCTTTGAGGCGCGCGCGGAACGCTACGCGCCGTACGGCCGGGCCTGGTTCTGGTCGTCCGGCGAGCTGCCCTTACTCGCCGACCGCGGGCCCGTGCTTACGGTGGCCGGAGATCGTCCCTCGATCCCCGACGCCCGTAGTGTCGCCAGTTGCGGCTGCTGGGGCGTGAGGAGGAGGATTGCTCCCTCACGCGGGCCGCCTCTCTCTTTGCGAGCATGACTGCTTCACAAAATAAGGAGACGGCGTCCCAGTTCCTCTCACTCCGCACCATGGCCTCGACTAAGGCCGGGCGCGAGAGGTCGCCGCCGCCGATCACTTCCCTGAGGATACGGCGGTGCTCAGCCCAGGCAGGGCATACCGCTACTGTATGCTCCACCGTATCCTCTAGGTGGTCCTCACAATGACGACACTCGGGCGTTTCCTCCCGCTGGATCCGAAACAGGAACCTACCGAAACTGCCGTGCCCGGTAAGCACCTCAGACGGAAGGTGAGGACGCCGTGGCGTCTCTCAAGCCACTCCTCAAAGAGGGGTCTTACCGCTGCCATAGTACCGTGCCCAGCCCTCGGTTGCGACAGTCGCTGCTTCCACTCAGCCATGAGATCTCGCCGGAGCTCATTCCGCCACGCTCTAATTTGGCGTGGCAGAGGATCCACGCCCCGGCGACGCGCGTCTGCGCGCAAACTGTAGACGCGCGCGAGCGCCTTCGCATCCAGATCCCATGGCGGTGATCCGGCAAGGAGGTTCGCCACCTCAACGGAGATCGTGCGATATCTGCGGATTATTCGGATAGCCATGACCCTCTGGGACGTGACCAGCGTACGAGCCGGCCGCCGCTTCAAGTCCGGCGCCCACACAGGGGCACCGTAGACCGTTCCAACCGTTCCAACTTAGGGGCCAAACGACGAAAATGCTCCGTGAAGTTCCATCGGCTGCCCTTTTTGGGCACGGGTTGTACGTTAGCGAGCTTCCAGGACTTTGGCACAATACCAGTCCTAAATAAGAGGCGATACAGGCGCGTCAATACAGGAGACAACTCGGGTGCCCACCCTTGAGAACTATCGCTGGTATACCATCCGGCCCACTAGCTTTATTCACGTCTAGACGACACAGTGCTCTCAGAACTTCTTTGTTCCTTAAGCGAACCTCGGGCATCGAGGTGTCGCAGATAGGCAGTCTGTGGAGTAGCACCGCAAGTATCAAGGCGAGAATTATGGGCGAAGAGTGATGCAAAGAGACTTGCTTTCTCTCTCGCGGTATGAGCCAGTGTACCATCACGTCTAACCAGCGGAGGCAGGGTGGGCCGACAGAAGTTGGTTTCGACCGACTTGGCAAGGGACCAGAATGCTCTGCTACCGGACGGTTGTGCAGAGAGTTTTGTGCCAATATAGGTAATGCGGTCGAAGCGAGCCCTTCTCAGTGCCTTTTTGTAGGACATGGCAGCATGGTTAAAGGCTCTCTTCTTTGAGCTCAGATCCGGAGCTTTACGGTCACGAGCGTTAACCCAGGCGAGAAAAGACGAATGTTTACGCTCTTCAGCTTGAGCGCACTCGGCATTGAACCATGGGTGAGCTAAGCCCCCGACGGGTAGGTCAGTATATGGGATGAAATACTTCATCGCTTGACGCATCTCATCCCAATCTGCTGACTTGTAACGCCACATCCGCCGCCCACCGCGTGAGTCGCAGTCAGGCGGAGAGAAGGGCGAAAAAGACTTCACCAGGCAGTGATCTGAAGTTCCAAGGGGCGAAGAAACTGTTACGATACATCTGTCTGGATCAGTAGTCAACAGAAGGTCCAGGCAATTGGCAGTATGACCAGCCACATCAGGCACCCTAGTCGCTAGCCGAACCAGCTGGGACAGGCCCATCGAAACCGCAAATTTCCACGCCTCTCTCCCAGCATGGTCGGTCCTCTGGTATGGGAAAAGCTAGTCTTGGTGGCAAGCATTTAACTCCCCCAGCAGAGCGACGAACTGCGCATTAGGGTGCCAAAGCAGAGACCATTCAGGATTAGGCCTAAATATTTGAGGTGTCTGCCAACCTGGATTTGCGCATTCCCAACACGTACGACGAACTGGGCGGATCTCTGGTCCTCGGTAGCTTATGAAACCACATCGCTTCAGTTTTATGAGGCGCTATATTCAGACCCAGTTCATTGATTGCAGCCACGACTTTTGCCACACCCACCTCTGAAAGGAGAATGGTCTCCTCGAAGTTATTCCCGCTGGCCATGACTAGAGTATCGTCTGCGTAACACACAACACGGACGCCAACGGGAAGATCGACACGCAGGACCGCATCGAATATGCAAGGTTCCACAGTAAAGGACCCAGTACCGATCCTTGTGGAACCCCACACGTAATTTCCCTCTGCGGAACGCTACCGTCTCGGCCCACATAGCGAATGTGCCGTTCGCGTAGGTAGTCCCCGACAATATTCTGCAGATAAAGAGGGACTCTGCGGTTAACTAAAGCCTCTCTAATTGCCTTCCAGGGTAGAGAGTTAAAAGCATTGACAATATCGATACTTATCGCCAAGGCTACCCCACCCCCTGACACTGCCTGATCCGACAGTGAGCGGACGCGCAATATTGCATCTATTGTTGAACGCCGCTGCCGGAAACCGTACTGGTTTTCAGACAGATCGGGACCAACCTGCGACAGGTGACTGACGAGTCTTTCAGCAATAACTCTTTCAAAGAGCTTGGAAACCTCGTCGAGCAGACAAATTGGGCGATGCTATGGCCTACCACAAAACAAAAACTCGGTGTTCTTGCAAAAGTCCGACGGTACTTCACACCGAGTCAGCTTCTAATGTTGTATAAAGCTCAGGTCCGATCGTGTGGGGAGTACTGCAGCCACATATGGGCTGGTGCTGCCAAATGCCACCTAGCGGCTTTGGATTCAGTGGAAAGGCGTGCAATGAGGCTGATTGGTGATCCGGATTTGGTTGGGTCCAATCTTCAAAGTTTCTAGCACAGGCGCAGAGTAGCCAGCCTTGCGGTGTTCTACAGGATGCATTTTGGAGAGTGTGCGCAGGAATTGCACGATTTGATTCCGCCATCTCCATTTCACCTTCGGACATCCCGGCGTACGGCGAATATCCACTCCTACGTTTTTGAGACACCTGCGGCTAAGCGTTTTGCCTCGTCATTTATACCGCGTACATCGAGGGATTGGAACAGTTTGCCGGCTGCAGTCTTTCCGTCCGAATACAATTTAGGTGTCTTCAAGGCTAGAGTGAATAACATTGCATCACTGCTTACCATCAGGTGGGATCGCAGGCAAGCACTAGATTATTGCAAGTAAAAAAAAAATTAATCCGTCTGCTCGTTTTGCTAACCTAGGACATAAAAAATGTAGATGCATGGTACTCACTGGACTGGAGTTGATATGATCATCGTTTATATGCCGTATGTATATAACATCTACACCAATCAGTTGATCAGTTCGTCCCAAGTAGCAGCCAAACGTTAGATTTGAAGTTAAGTGTGATTTTATCAAGGATTCAAGAGATTCTGTTGACTTCTTGTCCGATCTGAAACCTATGGAGTAAAGTAACATTAGAATACGGTAGTTTCCAACTAGTCAAATTCAAAACTTTTATCCAAACGTCCAAAACGATACTTTTCTATGAAATTTGTATGAAAAACTGAGCTATGACGTCATAACATTTTTCCGTCAAATAGCATATCTACTTATTTTACAATAGTTAGCTAAAAAAAAAATCTAAAACTTGGTGTATCGATCGATCGATGAATAAAAGTATAGTTATTTTCCAATATTTTATTGTATTGAATCGTCGGATTAATTTATTTTTGACCTAGGAAACTACCCAATTACGTAATCGTACCACGACCTCAGACTTTTACAGTACACTGCAAGACTACATATTGCAGTTCAATTAGGATTTAATGAAGATTTATTGACAAATCAAATGGAAACGAGCAGCGGGTGAAACCGCGTGAGAGTAGCTAGTTTAGTATATATGTACTTTCTATGATTATCTAGACACCACACACATACGGTGAAGGAAAACATCGTGATTAAAATTGAACTTATAATTTCTAATTATAAGTTGAGTAAGCGTGTGAATTGCTTAAACCTTCTCCGTGCGAGAAGAGGTCTTTGCCCAGCAGTGGGCACTTATAGGCTGATGATGTGTGTTGTGTAATTAATGTGTATCTTCTTTTCGGAAAAACTTACCCAAAGCATTAACAATATGGTCGTCCAAAAGAACCTGCTGAATTAGCGAGATAGCTTCGTCTATTTGAGCATTTGACAGCGGCTTGATCATAAAACTACAACAAACAAAATAAAATACTTAATAATTATATAAAAGAAAGAAAGAGCAGTGCAGTGCAGCATCAGTGACAGTGCCACCAAGTAGGCGTAGGACCCACGCCTTGTTTTTGTGTAGTTTTAACAATAAATTGATATTGTTTAAAACGTATGTAGTTTGATTTACATTTTTTGATTTTTATTTTTTTGCTCGGGTTTATCCCGTAGCACATGCTTTGGCATGAATGGGTCGGCTCGAAAGGAGTGATCCCATGGCCTCACAGAAATCCAGCGTGAAGCAACCATAGCGTTGTGTTTTGCCGCGTGTGTGTCGTTTCGATCGAATTTAAAAACAATTATAATAAATAATAAAATAATAATAATGTTTATTTGTTGTAAAAGGTAGATTACAAAAAAATATATCTTAAAATCTAGAAATAGTACAGTTTATAACATCAACCTGAACTAGGTGCAAACCTGTGTTTCAGGTAAAAAAGTGCTGACATACTTCTACTTCAATATTAAATTGACACATATATGTGCAAATAACTCTGGTATAACAGTGGTATCTGGAGACTTACGCATAGAAAATTGAATGAATTTTGTTTTGTCCGCATTTAATGTTAGTAAATTAGAGGAAAGCCAATTATTAACAGAGTCAAAGCCCAATTGCGCATTTTTGTACAATTTTGATTTATTAGTAGATGAAAAACTTAAAGCAGTGTCATCGGCATATGATATTAGTTTCCCATGACAGATTTTGAGATTACACAAATCATTGATATATATTAAGAATAGACCTAGTATACTACCCTGAGGCACTCCATAGCAAGTATTTTTCTGAAATGAACTCATTATATTATCTATTCTAACACATTGATAACGGTCATCGAGATAATCAGCAAAGAGATTGAGCTGCGTGCCTCTGACACCTATGCATTCTAGCTTCTTAAGAAGCAGTGGAATTGAAACAGTATCAAAAGCTTTGGCAAGATCAATAAAGATTCCTAGCACGTGGTGGCAATTACAATAACCTAGAATATTTTCATCCCGTTGATTTAACTGGTTGTAAACTGACACTTGCGTGCCTTTCTTTAGAACGGGCCCTCTTAAACTGGTGTGTTAAAGATCACTACTTTGCAAATATTGTATTTCAGGAGTGATACTACAGCGTCGCTGAAACCAACGTTAAACAACTTTGAGGTTACCAAGGGCCCAATCTTTCTTCCCTTCCCTCCATATTCCTAATCATCAAATCCCTATTCTAAAATCTCTTACAAAAGGCCAGTAACGCACTTATATCCCCTTGTTTCAGGTGATTCGTCTGGTCATTTGCTGGCCCATCGCAAAAAAATAGCGAAGAAACCGCGTAATGTAGGCTTGCATCACAATTACGTCAACGTTACCAACAGAGGACGGAAAAGGACTTGTTATTAAATCGATTATTATTTACAATTAAAGTTTTGTTTTATTTAAGACGTAAAAATGACCTAAAGAAACGTGGCGTTTTCAAATTAAAAAAAAAAAAACTAACATACCACAGAATGTAAGGCTGTGACGTCACGTATTTACGTAAACATAACACGCATTTTGAAACAACTTAAAAATACTGATTGGAGTAGTAAAACATTCAATATTAAAACTGAATTTTATTTTAAGTAAGGTTAGGTTACTTAGAACAAAGAAAAAAAAAGATTAACTTTTAATAAACTGACAGTCATTCACCTCAGTAAAACTGTCAAGCTTTAAAATATCTAACAATATGGTATGGTATAAGTAATCGATTTATTTTATGAGCAATGTTTATTGTGCAATTCAGTATTTTTGGCGGTAATTTCGAAAAAACTCGACAGGCGGTCCGAGTTGCTGGTTCCGTAAAAATGAGGCTACCGGTGGCTCGGACCACAAAAACTCGAAACGTGGTCCCAGTTGCTATTTTATTTTTATGGATTGCCGGAAGCCTCGTAATTTCGAATGTTTTGATTGAAGAATGAGGATTTACAGTTCAAGTATTACTTAAATACCACTCATAAAAAAATATAAATTATTTTATTAAAAAAAAAATACTCACTTTTCAGCCGATTGGTCGAAGAATGTCCACACTTTTCCGACATCAGCAGACGTGGAAGCCATATTGTGTCGGTGCACTTCTGAAGACGCGGGTGCAAATTGTAGCTTATCTCTGTGCGTTGCATCAGGTTATATAGCAGCGCCCAAATCGAAAACGCCAAGACCATCTTCGTTTTTATTAAAAATGTCTTTTCAATAGACACTCTTATTTATTTATTTATTTTATTTAGCAAAAAGTACAATTTTAGTAATAACATTTTGTTCTTATAATTAAAGATCCTCGCCAAACATAACGTTTAACGGCGAGAACGATTTATCCTCCACTATGGTCGATCACTATTTTCCGACGCGGCTTTAAACTCAAAAATATTGTAAATAGTTTTAATTCTAGCTAATTTTCTTTCCGTAACACTGGCTAAATTTAGTTTTTCGCTTTACTAAATCACTTTTTTCTTGCTTCACTGAGTCCAACATTTTTGGTTGGACTTAAAAAATTTTTTCGTTTTTGCTAACACGATGTTTGCTTTCAGCCAAATGTATGAACGACAACGTCGTTGCCGTGATCGTCGCCGCCACACATCGCTGATAGATAATGACGGTAAAATCTTATCTATATTATCGATTCTGATAATTCAATATTGGAAAACCCATTGTGCTATCGAAGTTTCCAGATAGTTCATTAAAAAAGAGTAATCTTTTCCATAGGAATCTACAGTATGGAACGAGCAAATAGCTTCACTAGAGGACAGACGGACAGACTGACACACATAAAGTTAAATCTCCTGAAATATATATTTTTCTTTTTTTTTTTTGATTGACGTTCAAAAGGTTCAAAAGTTTGGTCTATTTGAAATACATGATTTTCACTTTTACTTTTTTTTACGACTTCATACCTTTTTTATGACACGTTGCATGGGAGCCAGTTGCCCAGCCACCGTGCCAACCGTGCAGACTTTAACGACAACTTTACTGTAAACTAGCTACTCCCGTGCGGTTTCACCCGCTACTCGGCTCCATTTAATCGTAGCGTGATGTTTTATAGCCTACAGCACCCAGGAACATTGTAGCTATCTATCAGTGAAAGAATTTTGGCAATCCGACCAGCGGTTCCAAAGATTACCCCCTACATACAAACTTACAAATTCTACCTCTTTATAATATTAGTATAGATAGTATAGATTTGATCCGCAGTAATGCCTCCAGCACAAAATAAACACTAAGAGCATATCAAAAGGCAATGTCAAAAATTAGCTGCTGAATGAAATTCGGCCTTATTGCTTCAATAACTACAATGTTTTAGGGTTCGTTTTGCTATCTTCACTGACTTACGAATTTTTTTTTTATGTTATAGGTCGGCAAACGAGCTAACGGATTGCCTGATGGTAAGCAATCAGCGCCGCCCATGGATACCCGTAACAACAGAGGAGATACGAGTGTGTTGCCGACCTTTTGGAGATTGAGCCTCGGGTAACCTCACACGGCGAAACACAACGCCGTGGTTGTTTCGCGCCGGTTTTCTGTGAGGCCTCTATCACTCCGTTCGAGCCGATACATTCGTGCATGGCTCTCCCACACTGATGTATTTGTTTGGAATTAATTGATTACTTTATTGTTTCGTTATGAAATGTAACCTTCACCGCGTTTTATGTCGATCCCATACATTTTAAACATTTGTAACCTCGTTATCGTTTTTAAATTGTTACTTTGTCGAAGCTCCAAGATGCTTTAAGGGCTGATTTTTCAATATTCAAATAAATGTTATCTGAGAAATATATATAAATTGTTGCTGTCACTGTCTTATACAAACATTCTGACGCAACAGCATTATAATTATTCTCCAGCTAACTTTTATGTAACTATTGAAAAATCAGCCCAAGTCACGTGGTCAATCAACATCGTTTTCGCAATTGAGTAGCTTTTTTTTTGTGGGGGGAAAATCATCATTCATTCATTGGCGGGAGGGAGTTTCAGACTCAAAAACCCCCTGTTCCTTCTCCTGCTCTGGGCCGAGGTCGCGGTGCCTTATTGCGCTTACCCCGCAACCCCGGCTGAACATCAGCCCTATAGGGCCGTCTGTGGTGGTCTTTGAGGCGCGCGCGGAACGCTACGCGCCGTACGCTCGGGCCTGGTTCTGGTCGGGCGGCGAGCTGCCCTTACTCGCCGACCGCAGGCCCGTGCTTACGGTGGCAGGAGATCGTCCCTTGATCCCCGGCGCCCGTAGGCAATTGAGTAGCTAATGCTGCATTTACAATACAAAATCGTGGTGGATGGAAGCTAAATGATTCATAATGTAAATTAACTAAAAATCGCGGGTTACTCACGTGTATAAATTGAGTGATTCATAATGTCTGACGTTCTTACGTTACAATAAAAATATATCATTAATATGATAAGTAATTAGGGTATTCAACTCGTTATACCTATCAAGGCCACTTTTATCTTGAGATAAGAGATAAAAAGAGAGATAAAGAGATAGTTTATTTTGGGAAATATGGGTAGTACAATAATATTTGTGGTGTTAGGTTAGGTTAGGTATTTTACCAGTAGGCATGCAAAAATTAATTTAAAATGTTACAAATTATAAACATGTCATAATAAAACTTAAACTTACTGCTTTATAAATTGAATAGTTACAGTCCAAACAAAAGTCAAAATAGTTAAACAATGTCAAATGTTAAAATGTCAAAGAAATAATAGTTGAAATGTCCTTAAATGTAATTAAAATTAATTATCTAGTTGATTCTCCATTAAAAAGTCTGCAACATTATAATATGCTTTGTCTACTAAAAGTTTTCTTAGTTTGGTTTTTAATAATGACATACTCAAATCCTCCAAGTCTTAGGTATTTTATTAAATATTTTAGGTGCCATGCAGCAGACACTTTTGCTAATAACTGTTGTCTTCGCTGTTTGAAGACATATTCGACTATTGTCTCGTCTATTTCGCGCAACTACATCGTTCAGTTTCTTAAAATATTGTGACAGAAAACTCTTTGACATCATGACGTCAATGGATGGTTGTCAAACGTTGCCTAGAGATTGTAAATTTCGTCGTGAATTGTCAACACGAGTTGGTGTAATCGGTAAGGCGTGTGGATTACACCACAGAGACCCCGAGTTCGAGTCCCGCCGTAAACATGAAGTTTTTTAGTTGATGGAAGTTTTGTCGAACTTTCTGGAATATTTGAGTGAAAGTAATGAAAAATTAAGGAGCGAGAAGGAGAATAAATAAAAATGAATAACGAAATTATTGGAAGGTTCTGGAGGCATGACGATCAAAAAGAATAACGAAATTGAATGTTCTAGAACCTGACCGGGGGTATATAAGCGGAACTGCGGCTCACCGCTGGCAGTTGAGTTCTAAGTCCAAAGCGATTCGGAAGAAAAGGAAGAAGTGAAAAGAAGAAAAGTGAGTGAAATAGTGAAGTACAGTGAAATAGTGAAGTGCAGTCAGTTAAGTGAGTTAAGTCAGCGTGAACAGTGAACGGCAAAGTTGTGTCAGTCGGCCGGACTCTGCTGGAGAGGAACGCCGATAACTTATCCGTATCCGTGGACGCTGTCACTTAAGTGCAATAGAAAGTCTGAAAACCGGTATTAGTGTTTAATTTCATCCAATCCCGTAACCCAAGCCCGCATAGTTAGGAACGTGACGTCAGGCACGTAACAATATTCTGGATTTGACTTGACAAACATAGCCATTTCCATTATATAGATGCATGGTAATGTTAAGATTTTATACCTCTTAAAATATGGTAAACAACTCTCAGTAGTGTCAAGTTTATACATTGAGCGAATACACATTTTCTGAGCTTTAAATGCAACATCTTTATCTGTGGAGTTGCCCCAGAATATAACCCCATGACGAAGATGTGGTTCAGCTATACCGTAGTAAGCAGTTAGAAGCGCTTCGAAACTTTATGTGACAGTGTATGTAGGGCATATGCAGATTTACTTAGCCTCTTACAAACCTTGACTACATGTGATTTCCAGCTTAGATGTTCGTCAATTTCTAAACCTAAAAACATGGTACTTTGTCAACTGTTTGGTTATTATAACTAACGGCAATATCTTTACTACGGATTCGTTGTCTAAAATGCATAACTTTTGTTTTTGTGATGTTAATTTTTAGGTTATTGTCATTAAGCCACGTTATAAACGAAGCTAGAGAATCATTAATTTCGTTTTCATATAATTTTGGATCATTACGCGGTACAGTTATGGTACTATCATCGGCAAACAAAGTCAAGGGTTGCTGAATGTGTTTCGGGAGGTCATTTATATATAATATAAAGAGTAATGGCCCCAGAACGCTGCCTTGTGGTACCCCATATCTAACTTCACGTTCTGATGAATGAAAAGTTTTTTCGTGATAGCTGCTATTCATTCTTTGTATTTCCGTCTTTTGTTTCCTATTACGTAAATAAGATTCTATTAGTTTAAGAACGTTACCTCTGATGCCATAGGCTTCAAGTTTGTCCAAGAGAATATTAAAGTGTACATAGTCGAAAGCTTGGGTCAAGTCACAGTATATGCACAGACTGGTTTACGTTCATCTACTTTTGTAAAAACCCCTTTTATAAAATCATATATAGCCATGTTTATTGATTTACCTTGTCTAAATCCTTTCTGTTCGTAGCAAAACAACTTGTTTTTTTCTAAGTATTTATAAGTCTCTTTATATATGTACTTTTCAAATATTTTCGATATAATCGGAATAAGTGCAATAAGCCTATAGAATTCCATGAGTTTCTTGTTTTCCTTTTTAAATAGTGGCTTTATTATGGAAATTTTTAATGCATCTGGATAAATACCGGCGCAAATGCTAAGATTCAAAATATGACTAAGGTGCCTACATATGTTAGGGGCTACTATTTTAAGTATCTTTGTTGAGATACCGTCGTAACCTACACTGTTTGTGTTCTTCAGTGAATTAATAATTTTTAGTATATCACACGGTACACTTGGAGCAAGGAACATCGAATTTTGTTGGATACATATACCGTGTGGTTTTGGTTTGTTAAAAATATTAAGATTTGGTTGAATTTTATCAATAAAATAATTATTAAAAGCATTAGAAATATCTATCGGATTAGTGATTGTAGTTTGGTCATCAACCTTAATGGAATATATGTATTGTTTAGGGATATTATGTTTTGTTTGGTTTATGATTTGCCAAGTAGTTTTAGATTTATTATCTGATTGGTGTATCTTGTAATTATTTTGAGCCTGTTGTGTAAGATTAATAATTTTCTTATACAATTTGGAGTAGTTCAGATAAGTCAATTTATTTACTTGGTTGGGGTTTAGTCTGAGTTGCCATAAAAGAGATCTTTTCTTCCTACTACATAGTTTAACACCACGGGAAAGCCACTTAGGTGCTTTATCAGTACTTTGTTTATTTATTAAGGTTGGGAAACATAAGTCATACATTAATTTAAAAGTGTCAATGAAAGCATTGTAAGCTTCATTTGGATCAGTCATGTCATAAATTTCTGAAAAGGATATATTACTTAAACATTCCTTAAACTTATTAATATTTTCTTTGTCATAATCTCG